TAATAGGAATTGACCTGTCAGTTGAATCGCTGGGTTACCGGTTAAACCACTAACCCATTGACCCACTGCATTGCCTGGGTCAATGTTCGAATCGGGTTTGATAACTATGCATTTAACAGTAGATTTGGATGGAAATGGATGGAATGACATTTTGTGCAATCAAATGTAGGTAAAAATGTCAAAAAATAGGAGGTATGAATGTTTTGCACAATAACAGCTAAATGTATGAGCATTTTATGCTATTTACCCATATATTAGAATCTAAATCAAAGTCAACAATTAACTTAAGTATGTTTGTTTAAATTTATAAAAAAGAAAAGATTTTTTTCCCCTTAGTTTAATAATAATAATTTTTAATGGTGATTAGGGTGGCATGAGTTTGTTGTGCTCAACCCGACTTTGGTCGGTTTTGGTTAAATTGCAAACTAAACCAATCCAATTAACTAAATGGACCATTAACAACAATGTTTCGAAGCTAGCATCTAAACAACATTAATTTATGTGGTGAAATTGATAAAAAGGTTCGAATAACACATTTCATTATAGTTGCATTATAAAGTTCGACAAAATCCTCCATACAACAATAATAGAACTCTTAATTTTTTTATAAATTTGAGATGGATCACATAAATCTGGATGAGTTTGAGATTCAAAATTATGTTTTTCTTATAAACTACATGGATAGAATATTCAGGATTAACGACATGGTGTCAAGAGGCACGTCTTCTTGTATACCGAAAGTGTGAAACTGGCTAAACTATCGAAAGTAATGAGAATCACCACGTTTATGTTCTAAAAGGAAATGGGATCCTAAGAGATAAGATACACAATTTTCAACTGAGTAATGCTATCAAACACTAGTTTCCATACCAATTTAGGTGCTAATTACATGACATTAAATGATAGATTCGCTTATATGTAATGTCACTCTGGAGCCCTAAAAAATGATGGCCCGAATATCAATTTTTCACCTGTGTAGAAGCACAATGCCAATAGCAGAAACTCCATGAAACGCGTCTCTTTCAATCAGCCAAACTTCCTGATGGAATACGTGCATTTTTCTGTTTTATTCTTTCTGATAAAGTATTATTTTTCTTTAATTCGTGCACCTTCACATTATATCGTAAAGAAGAGAAGTGGTAAAACTTTGTCACTATATGCGTCATTCTTACATTTTGTCATATTTCCATGAGTTTCTACCATGAAGATTCTCATACTTGATGGGAAATATAGCGTTAAATAAATGAAGGGAATTAATGGGCACCAAAAATTTCAATTTTCAGGTGGAATTGCAAACACAAGTGCCAAAATTCAATGCAACTTTTCTTGGCTCCACAAAAACGGCTGAAATTTGGAATTCAAGAGCCTGAATGATTGGCCTTACTGGCAATTTCATTGTTAAATTGGTTAGTTCTATTCTAATCTTCAATTACCGCTTTCTTTGAAAATTGGAGCACGTTTGACTGGAAGTACTCGATGCGGTACTAAATAAGATTTAAGATCTTGTTCTTTACATTATCGAGTTCATTCATACCATGTACCAAATATGTGCTTAAATTGATAGTGTATATCTTGAATTTAATCATGAACTCTTCTAACTTTTATATGTTTTCAGATTTTAGACGAGGGAATAATTCTGAAAATTTAAGGTTACAAATTATTTTCTAATTTATGTAAGTTAAACTGCAGTATGTTAAATAGACTAAGTGAATGCGATAAACTTATTTGGAATGGTCACAGCAAAAAACAGAAATGTAGAAGTAAGAAATTGGTAGATCAAGACGAGATTGACTCTTTGTCCTCCACACGGGTGCTTATAGTTGATGCAAATTGTCTCCTAAGATATAATGATTTCTTTTCGTAGTAGTAGCACTTCAAACCACAAAATGCGGCATACCACAAATATGTTTTGTACTATCTTTATTGAGAACAGGGAGCGAATGCAGAAAACTTTTAAATATGCATGACAGAATATAAATTTACATTTGTCAATAGGATTAATATACGAGTTTGCTATTTGCTTCTGGCCTAAAAGAAAAAAAAGAAGATTGGGATGAATACTTAAATATGCCCACAAGTTGTGCATAACATATTTTTGGATTAGGCACTAATTAGTTTGGATAGACTCACAAGTCGCAACAGTGACAGGTAAAGACAACTGAATTCAGAGTAGTCGTAGACTCTTGAAAAAATAGAGTGTGTGCCTTGAACAGGTATGATTGAGGTTGACTACTCAATCTTGATTTCTCACTATCCAAACACTTCTAACAATCCTTTTGTTTGTTAAAAAAAAAAAATAGAAAATCCTACTCTCAAGAAGCTGAAGTTCTGAAATACTCTAAAGAATCATCCAACAAGTGAAGAACATCAAGGATAACAAAAAAAGTTTGGGGTAGGACGGAATTTGTACATTGGCTAGATTAATATCCTGCAATATGTTTGTTTATGGTAGATCAAACGACAAATGTGGAATTTCTGTATTAGAAGGCATCAAAGAAAAGACATACACTAGTTCGATAAGCCATGAAAAAACAACCACTGCTTGATTTTGATACACTAGGTACAACATACTCTGCTAAATATTGATGCAAAGGTTAATAAATTTACCACCTCTATCAACCCAACTAGTCCTATTTGATCTTAAAAATTCCCAGCCCCCTACACTTAGTTGCAAGATACACTTCAAACAAATTATCTTCCCCAAGTGCTTGGTTAAGCAGTATTTTTTTCTTGGGACATTTGCAAAAATGTTCGACTTTACATATATCAATTCAAAAATGTCCACTTTTGATAATCTTTGCAAAAATGGCTAAATTTGATACCAAATTCTCTATTTTACCCCTTAATGAAAGAATAAATAATTTTATATTGCAAATGTCAAATCACAATTAATGCTAGACATAGAAATGTCGAGAACAACATTTAAAGTGTAGAGAAATATCATGTTCAGAATGAAATGTCGTTCTAAACATTTAATATGTCGAGAACAACGTTTGAAATATTGAGAACATTTAATATTATGATTTGACATGTGTACTTTGAAATATAAACGGATTTAAATATCGAGAACGATATTTGAAATGTCGAGAACATCACTTTAATGTAGCTTCTCATAGAAGCTAAGGGGTACTTTCGTCCAAATAATTGTAAAAATAGATATTGAAATATTTTAAACATTTTTACAAATGACTATGTAAAAATGAACATTTTTGTTAATTTTTTTTTTTTTTTTTTTTTGCTTTTTTGTGTAAAATTGCTTCAGAGTTTTCTAACTTATATATTATGTGGATCTTCAATGTTTCAGTGTTGTCGCAGAGGGTGTCCCGCATAATGAAAATCGTTCATTCAACCGTTTAAAAGTTAAAAAGTTGTTCTTCTTTTTTTTTTTTTTTTTCCTTTTCTTTTTTGATTTTTTTTTTTTTTTTTTTTTTTTTTTTCCTTTTCTTTTTTCTTTTAAACAGAGAAGAAAAAAGTATGCACCTTGTCTAAGAGTTGGTTTACCTTAGTATCATAAAAATTTGTGTGTTGTCAGGGATGAATCTAGGCTTCGAGTTCAGCTAGAATGGACCGCAAACGTTGAACATTTACTGTCAACGATGAACACTCGTGATAGAGAGACACGGTCGTTTATTAATATTTAATTGAATAATGTTCAAAAAAATTGTATAGATTGGAATTAAAAGAATTAGATACACCACTAAAATTAGAATAAATAGATGTGGATTTTCGTTTCGGTTGAAAAAATCGTTTAATAATCCGCAAAAATGCCTCAATTATTTTCAATTAGAATTGATTACAAAACAAAGCACACATGGTTGAATTGAGCCTAACATCTTCTCAATTGATATTTTGTTTCACTTATCATAAATTCCTAAGCATAAATTCCCAAATGACAAATCAAAACTCATAAATGATTTATAACTCATAACTGAATGACTCGTACAACGTAAATTATTTATCCCAACCATAGATTCACAATTCTCATTTTAATGCCAAATTGCTAATGAACTAATCGGACATAAATCATTATTCACAAGTCATAAATGAAAATTAACACCAAAACCAAATTTTGAAAACAATGATTTTCAGAACTAGGACTATTTTTAACACCAAAACAAAATTGTTTTCCAAAGTCTTAAAGAATAAAGAGCAATTCTTGGATTGTCCAAATTTGAATTTTATAAAATAAATTGATTAAACATAGTGATAAAAATATCTATATTATGAAGTAATAATTTGAGTGAATAAATTTTTAAAGAAATTATTTCGAATAAGAAAACTATAGTTGTTTAGTTATTATTTTCAGAACTAGGACTATTTTTTACACCAAAACAAAATTGTTTTCCAAAGTCTTAAAGAATAAAGAGCAATTCTTGGATTGTCCAAATTTGAATTTTATAAAATAAATTGATTAAACATAGTGATAAAAATATCTATATTATGAAGTAATAATTTGAGTGAATAAATTTTTAAAGAAATTATTTCGAATAAGAAAACTATAGTTGTTTAGTTATTATTTATTGTAACAAAAAATTAAACAAAAAACTGGATGGATATAGAATTGAACCCAATACCTCTTACATACAAAGAAGAACTCCTCTACCATGTGAGCTGCCCTTGCTTTAGTAAAGGTTGGTACAATCTTTTATTAATATTTAATTATTCTGTTTAAAAATTAAATGACGTACTGCCAGCCAATGGAATCGAACCTGTGTATCATCAATGCAAAGACTAGGACGCTGCCACACAAGCCACATGCCCGTTTTGATAAATGTTTTGCACAAAACCATATATATAACACAAACCTTTACTAAATTTTTTCTACGGACGACCGCGGCGGCTCACCAGGTGCTGGATCCACCCCTGGTGTTGTGCTTTTCACTATCAACAAAATCTTTTAGGGATAGATTATTTAAGGCATACATTTTTTTCCATGTTCTTACTTGCTGATATGTAGTGTCTACAATCCATAGCAGAAACATTTCGATTGTTGTTCAGGTAACTAAAATATGAAAATATTATATACATTCATGGTCAAAAACATATAACTGCCATATGATTAATAAGGCAAAAGGAAAGTAAAAAAAGGACAGCATCCCGTAGTAACCTCAACGTCATTAATCTTCTTTACGCTGCTGCATTTATCCCATAACTTCATAATTATCGCCCACCAGATGGTAAGGACGCTGCAACATTGGAACAATTGCCCTCTGAATTGTTAGAATCAACAAAGCCTTCAGCATGTGCAAATGTTAGGCCTCCTGCAGAAATACGAAGAGAGGATATATCCGACAGTGCTGTGGAGCCTTCTAAGTAGAGCAGTATTTGCCGCATATTCGGCCTAGCGACAGACTCGGAATGAGAGCATAGTAATCCAAGTTTTAAAACCAGTTCCACCTCTTCTTTTACATAATCATAGCCCAATTTTGGATCAATGGCTTGTAAAATTACTCCTCGAGTCCAGTGTGAAAACACCCAGTCCACCAAAACTATCTCTTCCGTTGGTGCTCGTGGCTCTATTGGCCTTCTGCCACAGCCAACTTCGAGTAGAAAGGCTCCAAAGGCATATACATCAGTGCTTGTTGTGGCCTTGCCACTTCTTGTATGCTCTGGGTCAAGGTACCCTAGAGTTCCAAGAACATGAGTAGTTCGGGGTTCACTTCCATGATCATACAGTCTTGCAAGGCCAAAGTCCCCTAATCTTCCATTTAATTCACCATCAAGCAATACATTACTAGCCTTAACATCCCTATGAACCACCACTTGTTCCCATTCTTCGTGTAGGTATAGAAGGCCAGATGCCACACCTTTGATGACTCGAAATCTTTGGTCCCAATTGAGGGAGATATTTGGTTGGTCAAAGAGAAAATTGTCTAGACTTCCATTTGGCATGTATTCGTATACCAATAGCAACTCACCTTTTCGTCTGCAATAACCCAAAAGTGGCACCAAATTTCGGTGGCGTAGCCTACCAAGGCTGGCAATTTCTGCCACAAATTCCCTCATTCCTTGTCTCGGTTCGTGCCACACTCTCTTGACAGCAACTTGAATTTTAGAGGTAGGCAATAAACCTCTGTACACCCTACCAAATCCACCGCTCCCTAATAGCTCCTTGTCTCGAAACCCTTTAGTGGCTATGTATAAATCTTTGTACTTGAAGCGGTGAGGTCCATATTCAAGTTCCCAGTCTTCTAGCTCTTCTGCGTACTTTTTCTTTACCCTTATCACGAAATAAGTTACGGCCAAGATTGCTGTCAACAATATAACCGATGAAATAGTAGGCACGCCAATCGTCAAAAATTTAGATTTCTCATTGGGTAGCTTGGGAAGTTGAGATAGATCAAGCCCTTCAGCTATGCCGTTCATCCTGAAGCTCCATCCCAAAACACAATGGGATGTTGTTGGTACTGGACCAGTAGCTGATGTAAAGCCAACGTACATGGTTTGTTTTAGGATAGGTGAAAGATCATATGAGAGGGAGAGAAGAGGAGTATTTGGTTTATTAGCCTTAAGTGGAGCTAATGTGACACTGATTTTCTTGGATAGACCATCATATTCGACCCAAACTTGCATTGGCTTGCCAGAAAAAAGAGTCAAGTCACGGAATACGCTATTGCCATTAGCATAATATCCTGCTGGTTTTGACACCTTAGACTCCAAACCATTTATATCGATCCCAACATGGTTGAAATTGATATCACCAAATTGATTATTCTTGATTGTGTCCAGCTCCACTGCAAAAAAATGATTTCTGAAATTCTCATTATTTGGTTCAATGAAGAGGCCAAGGTACTCGGCTGGAAGAGCTCCTTGAAGGCCTTTTGTTGAAGCAATCACGAAAGTCATCCCTTCTGCACTTAAATCCGGATATATAGACTCCATGGTAAAGACAAAGGAAGTGGAAAAAGAATAGGCCGAGCCATTTGAGTCCTTGAAGTTTATGGGACTAGGATAGAAGGCATGACCCTGTCCTTGTTTTACCATATTCGTTAGCTTTAAGAGTCCACTGGAGGTGATAACAGCTTTGCCATCCAGGCTCAGGTTTGCTAGCTTGAATCCATTGTATTTGAACCCAAGATCTTCCGATATTACAGGGAGAACTAGACAATATGTCACAAGTAATGCAATCTTGAAAGCCATAACATATGTTCACCCAAGACTTGGCTATAGTGCTAATATGTGCCTATGCTTTAACACTCAAAGAAATGTTTGGTAGACGATATTGAATATGATTAAGAATAAAAGCAATTAAATTTTGTTCATGTATTGATGAACAATATTGAACACAGTAAGAAAGAAATACGAAAATAAATTTTCCATGTGTACTTGCATCATGACCCACAAAATGAATCAATTACTAACGAAAAAATTCTTGCAAAATCATGACAAGTTGAAAGGGAATAGCAGCCATTAGACAAAACACGCTCCACCATCCAGTGTGATTCATGTACCAATAGTATTATTGGAGGAGTCAAAGGATGGAAAATGCATTGAGCCTAACCCCTTTGAACAATCCATTCGAGTCTAACGAGATAAATTTGGAAATTTTTGTTCAAAAGTTTGGGACATCAAATTTTTTGGAGGAGGATCAAGAGAACCAAAGGGTTATTGAATCATTTTATGAGCCAGTAATCATGCTTAGCTTTCAACATCGGTATGTTGTGAAAGACTTAATAAAAAATGTTATTGATGAATTGACTAAAAAATTAGAGGTTAGCTCGGTCAACCAAGCCGGTGGGAGCCAGGTCAAGAAAAAGGTGTTGGCTTGCCCGAGCAGCATGTGGTAGGTGGTTTTATGGCTTTGAGCATGTTAATCCTAGGCTTGGTCTTAAAAACACGATGCACAAAATCCCAGTGCAACAATTAATTGAGAACGATTTGAATAATATGACAATGGATATAGAGAAGTGTTAGGGTGGAAAAAGAGTCTGCCCATTGACCAATTTGAAAGTAGCTGTTGCGAATGATGTCGAATGGAGGCTTCATCTTCCTACTTGAGAACAAGAGATGATGTCGGTGATGCTTTAGACTTTAAGGAAGCTATAAACTTCTCGAATTCGGAATACGATAAAAATTTACACAATCTCCTTCGGATAGTGAGTTCGTCAGTTCGAAAGTGATTGAGAATTAAAGAAATACTATACTTGAAGCACAATGATAAGAAATATGACTAAAATTTTATAGTGGGAAATTAATATAGCCAAATCCACTCCAAGTTGACCATAGTTTTTCCAAGATCTACAACTGTTCGATTTCAATCATCAATGACATTAGTGTGCCACTAATCAATGGCCATTCCAATAAAATATGCTTAAGATTTAAATAGACAATCCACATTAATCTTTACAAAGTAATTACGTATTCAGTACGTTCAATTAAATAAAAGCTTAAGCTCAAGTGCTATTGATGCTTTCGTTGCTGATGTGTACAATTTCTGTGTGACCCGACCATCCACGATCTCATACTCGAGGTCATGGTAACCTCGAGCACTCTCCTATGGCTTGAACATCCTCGAGTTTATATGGTCGGGCTCGTCACTCTCTCCCATGGGCCACAACATCATCGGGCTCACATGAGCAAGCTCAAGGTTTGAAGCCCCTATCTCAAACTATATAGCTCGATCTTCCCCCCACACATTTACTCAAGCACCAGGTCGGGCTTCATGTTAAGGTCGAGCTTATGCCCGAAGGATTGAGGTCGAACATCATGAGATCGGGCCCCAGAGACGTCAATCCCACTTTGGCTATATCTCTTTATGATCTTTATCTTCATCCAAATCACTTATCTATCATAATTTGACTCAAACTCAAACAAAACACTTTCATTATAACACAAATACTCTACATGATAAGGATAAGGGCTGCAGGCAGTTGAATCCTTTTATAACTCTACCGCTAACTTCTATAAATACATGACCAAAGCTCATTGATAAGTGATGCAGGAGGATCCAAGTCAAGTGATACTGATTTGTCAGATAGCATGATGATGACGCTGAGATACCATGAGATGGCGGATCGGCGCAAAGATGGAAAGTGAATCACCATTATTTCCATAATTGGGGGAATTTGACGCGTCTTTGGTAATTTGGCCATAACTTTAGCTACAGTTATCGGAATCGCTATTATGACCCCAATTCGGAAAGCTTTCTTCGGCGCGCACGTCGTGGCCACCCAGTTATGCTTGGTGGACGTCAATTTCGAGCCCAAAATCCACTATTTTCCTTTCCAAAATTCAATTTTAAGTTATTTTTTACTATTTATGGTAATATTTTGTTTCCTTTTTTCCATATGTTAGAAAACTCGAATTGAGCCAAATTTTTGGCAACTTACTTCTTTTACTTAATATTTTATTTTGGTATAATTTTGGGATTTTGCCATTTTTGATAATTTTCCCATAATTTCGTATTTCGCAGCTATTTAACCCGGCTTGTGGGTTAGTTTTCATCATTCTGCGTTATTAATAATATTGAGTTGAATTCAGAGTATTTTCTTTGGTTTTTTTGGCGTTTTCTGTCATTCTTTTCTTGCGAATCATCTGCTACAACAAGCCAATAAGATAATCACTATCCTACCCGACGTTAATAAGGTACGTTTTTACATACAATTTTAGTATACGTTCTGTCTGACTTAAATATTGGAGAGGCGAAAAGAACACATCTCGTTGCCTTTTTTCAAAGTACCGGAAGGTTCTGTTCGTGCTCTTTCTCAGTCCTCAAATTCGGGAGATCTACCAGGTACGATTTTTGGCAGCATCAGTGGCGCCGTCTATGGGAACCGCTGCCAAAAGCCATGGTGAACACACGATCAAGTCTTTCCCCAGCAAGCTCATCCATCTCAGACCATCCTCCTTTCCCTGAAAATCATCCTATCCCTCAGGAAGAATCATCAGAGATACTAGTACCTCAACATGTCGTTATTACTGTCGGAGCATTCGAAGAGCTCCGCCAACAAGTTTAATAATCGAATTTTTGACCGTTATATGCACAATAGCTATTTTGGTTGTCTCGATCCAAAGGAAGACGTTGGATTGGTTGTCCGGTTCGAAAGAGATTTTGCTTTTTGAGCTCTATAAATACCCCTAATCTTTTCATTCTTCACAAGACTTTTAAAAGCATCAAAGTGAGATTTTTTTTTATTTTTGGGAAAAATTATATCCACGATACAAATCATTTACTTTTATGCAGACTTGATCCATACCTTTATTTTGTTACATCCACGGTACCAAACCTTGTAAGGATAAAAACTATTAGTTTGACTGTTAGTTGACCAGATAATTGACCTTGACAATGATTTTGACTAATTTTAAAAGGTTAAAATTGTAACTTTACATTTTTTTATAATAAAACAACTAAAATAATATAATCAAAACCAAAAACCTAACAACTTCTTTTTCTCCATCCACCCTATACATACCCACCACACTCAAAAACCACCACCACCACCACCACTATTAGACGACTCCACCGTACCAACCCAAAACCGACGCCACCTCCACAATTATATCATTTGTATCATCTCTTCCCTTTTACTTATAGCTTTCATATTTGCACTCATTATTTGAATTAATCTATTTAATCTTTATTTACTTGAATTTAGATTAATTCTTCGAAAAATTTTAAAAACCAATCCATCCCCTCTTGGCTAGTTATTCTCGGCTATCATTGTGAGTAAAAAAAATTCACACAAATTATAAATTTAAATTTTCACTAAGGAGCATATATGTAATTTTATTCATTTGAAAAACTTTTAGAACCAATGGATAATGAAGTTTTAACACATGGGTTGGATTGCTTTAAAAACTGCAACTAAAACTACTCAAAATCGATCCTATAATAGTACTTCAAAACTCCCTAGCAGGCCCAAGAAATAAGGTACACAATTTTCAACTGTGGACAAGTTGATTAAAAAAAAGGCACTTGTCAATAGCATTACCAAAAGGGAACCTAATGACAACTTCACAATCACGGCAGATAGCCACCAAAAACATACAATTTTCCAAAATGGTCGTTGACTACTGTTTAAAAAAAAATTCAAAAATTTGTAAAAACATTGAAAACCCAAAATTGCCTCTGACATTTCATTCTCAAACCAACGTCTAGAGAAAGAAGGGGAAGAAAAAACAAGGAAATTGACGAGTTTTTCTTGCGACGAGACCGACCGGCCACCATTAGAAGCGAAGAAAGTAAGTTTTGCTTATTTTTCCCTCATTAATCTTTGAACCTGAATGTTAAAGGTTTATTTTGTTGGAAATAGTGGTAGAAACCTTTGTAGAATATGTAAAATTACTAAAAAAATAAGTTTTTTTATGGTTTGGTTGCCGGAGATCGTCGGAAATGGCGATCTCCGGCAGAGGCCGTCTCCAACGGCCTCCAAGAAGACGGCTGTGCCGTCTGTAGTATTAATTTTTTATTTTAATTTTTTTTCATGTGAATTAAATTAATTGAAATGTTGTTAAATTATTATTTAAATTATTATTTAATTATTATTTAAATGATACAAAAATATAAATAATAAATAAATGTATTATCAAACTACGCAATTAAAATTTAATTACAGATTAATTGAAAGAAATTTCTAACATTTGAAATAAATAATTAAATATTTAAGTTTACTTGTTCAATAAATAATTTGATTAATTGATCTATATAAGTAATTAAATCAAATAATTTAAATAAACAATTGAAATGAAAAATCATTGGAATAAATAATTAATTGAAAATCACAAAAATAAATAATGAACATTTAAATAATAATTAAATGATTATTTAAATGATAAATAAATAAATGTTATTAATCAAAATACGCAATTAAAATTTAATTGATACAAATTTCTAACATTTGAATTAAATAATTAAATATTTACGTTTGCTTGTTCAATAAATAATTTAAATAATCTTTCCATATAAGTAATTAAATCAAATAATTTAAATGAACAATTGAAACAAATAATGAAAAACAATTGGAATAAATAATTAATTTAAATGAACAAAAATAAATAATGAACATTTAAATAATAATTACATGATTATTTAAATGATAAATGAATAAATGTTAATATTGAAAATATTAATTAAAGTTTAATTGAAATAAATTTCTAACATTTGAAATGAATAATAATTAAATATTTACCTTTGCTTGTTCAATAAATAATTTAAATAATCGATTCATATAAGTAATTAAATCAAATAATTTAAATGAACAATTAAAACATATAAATGAAAAACAATTGGAATAAAGAATTAATTGAAATGCACAAAAATAAATAATGAACATTTAAATAATTATTTAAATGATAAATGAATAAATGTTAATAATCAAAATATTAATTAATGCTTAATTGAAATATATTTCTAACATTTGAAATAAATAATGAGATATTTGCGTTTACAGAGTTCAATAAATAATGT